CGAAAAGGCGATTTGTTGGCCTTGAGAAGTACTCGGTCGATGCGACACGGTACCAAAGGCATTAGCGCAGTCAAGCAGTAAACTGCTGCTAATGAACGGTCCAATCCAGAAAAACAAGTCATTTTCTATTAGAATGAAAAGACTGCAGGCGAGCTGGTTAAACTACATAGTTGAAAACCGTGAGAAAAGAGGAAATAAAAAGATTTAAAAAAAAACGCACAAGACAACACAAGTTCTCAAACGCAGCTGAGTTTATTGACACGGAAGCACCAATAAATGCACTTTGAGACGGAAAAGAGGGAAAAGGGACCTTAATGGAAAGACCACGACTATACAATACTATACTTCGCTTCAGCTTACGTCTAGACGCTATTTATTTATTTATTTAAATACCTTAAGGACCCCCCATAGGGGGTATTACGTAAGGGGTAAATAAATAAGACGCTACGAGCTAATGGGACCATGGCAGCTGCGTCAAAAAAGCGAAAGCCACCGGGTATTTTCTGTTTATGATTGGTTCGGCGATGAGAGCATCTACAGAAGCATGACCACTGATGGTGCCCTTTTGACACTGTCTGATTGGTCCCCCCCGTCGGCTGCGTCTGGGCCTAAGGTTAAAACGAAATACAAGCGAAATATACTAAAATACTGGTTGAATACATAGTAAAATCTACCAACATGGACATTGCAAAATGAAGTATACGAGTATATACAACCATTTTGCCTTTTCTTGTTCTTTAACGCAAAAGTTCCGCTGATTTCCCAGACTGTGGCAAATTGTGGCGCAAAACACACACTCACACACACACACACACACACACATCACACAACACACACACACACACACACACACACACACACTCTCACATCACATATATATTATATAGAGTATATTTATATATATATATATATATATATATATCTATAGTTTTTTGTCAAGGGTTTCCTAAATAATTTAAACTTATACTAACTTGTGACGGCAAAACATTGAGCACCATATGACCCGCAAACGAGTAAATTTGACAGCAAACCTTAATTCAAGATGAGCCGACTGGTATTCCCCAAAGGGGAATTGGCGATGATAGCGTATTAAAATGTCTTAAATATATGATTGTACCAGTCACATTACAAAACTAAAATGTCACGCTGAGAGTCCATTTCTGGAGAAATAAAAAAGAAATAGATAACACATTTTCATGTGAAGCTAGCAGTTTGAACATCCCTTTTGTCAACCAAACCTGGATCACCATGGACCAGGGATGGGCAGTATTTCAAATACAAGTATTTGAAATACGTATTTCAAATACTTTGTGTATTTTGCGTTTGTATTTAATTACAAATTGGGTAATGTATTTGACGTGTATATGCAATTGTAATTAAATACAATTTTGTGGGCGAAAATACATCTTGTTTTTATGCATGTGGTTGTAAGATATAGTCTCCATCCTTTATTCGGCCATGGGGCATTTTTCTTTTTCTCCTCCGGCTTTATTTTAAAGGCACTGTCCAGAGCAGGAAGAAAACTACGTTCTGCACCGAATGCAGTGTCTCTTAATCAAGCACAAGCGTTTGGCGACTTTGTGATTACGGTGCTAGTCCAGGGCAAGAAAAGTGACGAAATCGACGTTCACAGGCAGACTGGCTAAGTAAGTGCCTCTGACAACTTGTGATGCTTTCCAGCCTGATTTCCATCCAGATTTTTGCCTCGAACATTCTAAATGCGCGGGTCGTCCAGATTTTCGTAACTGGTGCGAGTTGCAACAATAAAAAAATTCTCTAGCTAGTGCTGCGCGTCTTGGTCATCGGTTCTTTTTTGGTCTATACCAAAATGTAATAGACAAAAAAAGCCGCTTGAAGCTCTGCACTTTTTTCACCTATTACGTCCAAGCTGATTACATTTTTGTGATTATATTTCTATTACGTTACTAGAGCCTCGCACACTAACTCCCGAGTGTGCGATTGCAAAATTAAAATTAGATACCCAGAAACCCGTTGCAGGTGCTCTGAAGTCGCTGACGCAAATTTTGAGGAATGTATTTGGAAAAGTATTTGGGGGAGACCAAATACATTTGGTTGTATTTGTATCTTGTACTTAAATGCTTTTTTTTAAAAATGTAATTAGATTTGTAATTAAATGCATTTTTGACGAAGTATTTTGTATTTGTATTTCGATACATATTTGCACGTATTTTGCCCATCCCTGCCATGGACCAACCAGTTCGCATGCGGAGCGCAAGTTTGTCTGCTTCTGGTTGGCTC